TCATTTTATAACAGTCAAAAAGGATCTAAAAAAAGTGAAGCACAGATTATGGCTTTGGAAAAGCGAAAGCTTGACATGCTACTTGACAATGTTGATGCTCCCAGAGCATTGATGCTCCCAATGATTAATGATGCTCCTAAAACAAAACACTGTGGTTCACCGAAGTTAAGCAAACTATCTTGTTTAGAAGGTTAGTTACAATTCTATAGTATAAATACTGTGTTTGCCTAAGTTCTACCATATTGTACTTGTACATAGAAGTGCTATATATTTTTTTTAACATTAGCAATTTTGATTGAACAAAAGAAACTTCTTTTTGAACAAAAGAAGACCAACAAACTGTTGTCTGAAATTTTGCGCCCAATAGAAAAAGAATCTGTAAATACTGATAATGTAAGTCAGTTTAATTTTTGTAATTTAATTGAAAAAAGCTCATCCAATGAGAGCACAACTTGCTAGTATTTACCAAATTGAATAAAATAAATATTGATTAAAGGAAAGGCTGGTATATTTATATACAAAAGGTTGCATAATTTGACCATGCAATGGAAAATGTTTACTAAATCCGAACTTATCTGTATTTTACTTTTTAGGCCATGTATTTTTTGTTACTGGTTTTGATGCCGAATTTAAATTATACGACATTCAAAGACGAGAACCATGTAGCTTTGCAAGAAAATTTATTTTATTGCGATTCGGAAAGGAGTTTCCTTGCACGCGTATTTGTGAACCAAACGGACCTACTGCACGCATTCATATGGAGAATGAAGAAATTCAGGAAGTTAATGGTGCACTTGACAAAATGTTTACGTCTTACAACTGGCGTGTTGTTCGGGCGAGTATTAATCAATTTTTACGAGACAATAAAAATAGTACAAAAGTTTGAAGACTAAACAAATGAATGACATTTTTCTTGTGCGTTTGTCGCTTATCCCCATATTCTAGCTGTTATGTGTTTTTTATGTTTTTTGTGTTAAATAAATACACCATCTAATTTATTCTAAATTTAGTTGTCTATTTAATTTTTTAAAGTTCGAATTTAGTATGAATTGAAAGTGTACATAAATATTTCTTTCAAATGTCAACTTTCAGCGCTGCTGCTAGACGATAATAAAATTGCAAAGAATTATACGCGAAATGGTTTTAGTATTTCGATAGTTTTAATTTCATCTCTAGGTACTCTTGAATCCTTAATAAACGCCCCCTCCCCCATTTAATAACTTTAAGTTATTTTTCCGACCCATCCTAAGCTTATTAAGACCTCCCCCCGCCCCGTTTAATAGTTTTTACTTGTTATCAACAAAAAATTCATATATCCTAAAATTAAAATTAAAAAGTCTAAAAATCGGCCATAAAAATTAGGAAATAACTTTTGTGTCACCACTAAAAGCATAAACGTTCAGTGTATCAGGCTTTAAAATTGTTGACAGTATATCTGGATTTGCCGAAAAAGAACTTGGATTATTACTCACCAAAGTACAAGCGTCAGGGACGTGTCCGCTACGTCGTTGGACGTACTCAAAAAAATTAAATAAAAGTTTTTTTAACTTGATTATATTGTTGAAAAAAATCTTACTATATGTAACTATTAAAACCAAACTACAGCTAAATCTAAACAAATTATGCACGGTTATCTGAAACGGTTGGAAAAAAATTAAAATCCGGAAAACGGTTCAAATTCCAAAATATTAAAAACCGGAAAATATTATATCGGTTTCATAATTTTGCGATTGTTAAAAATTAATAATTACAATATTTTGATGGAGGTTAAACTATCTTTTGAGTCAAATAACTTAATTAGAAACTTGAATTGAAATACCTTATTTTATATTGTTATATAGAACTTTATTTTTTTAACTTTTTTTTTCATTGGTTTAAAAAAAATTAAAATAATTATTTTAGTTAAAACAACCTTTGGACTTCCTTTTTGACTTTGGACTTCCTTTTTGACTTGCGAATTAAGCTTGCTTAATTCGCAAGCTAATATAGCATTGTAAAGAAAAAGTTAGTATGTTAAAGAAAAGCATCTTTTCCTATAAAGTTAGGCGAACAAATATTATATTAATTGTGTAGAACTTTTGATATCACGATATCCTTTTGATACAAGAAAGGAAGACAGAGAGTTGTTACAAGTAGAAGCTGTTTATAGTTGCATCGATAAAAACTATTATTTGGTTTTCTTTAATAATCAAGAAGAAGATTTTAGACTTATTAAGTATAAATTTTAATTAGCCATATTTTTATCCTTTATGAGAATCATGATAATCGTAATAGGAACTATGATAAACCGCATAAAAGAAAAACTTGTTTACTTAGTATTTTAATAAAAGCTATTACTGATTTTTCTTTGGGTGTTATGAAATGTGAAATTGTAGCATGGATACTTTACGAAAGTTTTTTATACCTGTGGTTTTTTGTCTCAAAGAATGTCAATAATGGTGCAGCCCCTGCTACTGCTTCTTCTACTGAAGTTAATAATAATTTTTGATTTTATAAATGCACTGTGTATAACAAGACATGTTTTTAAAATAACTTTTTTAATTACTTTTTTAATAACAATTTTGCAAGCAAGTAATAATGATAATTTTTATAGTTTAAATCTTATTGAAGCATTAAAAGTTTTTGTCTCTATAGTTAGAAATATTATTAATCAACACCTTCAAATATGCTTTAAGCAAGCCTAAAAATTGCATTTCAAATTATTTTAACTTGGTTATCGCTGTTTCTTGCTAGATCTAAGTTTTATCTAGATTACTGAGTTTAACACAATGTTTGATTGATACAATTTTGAAGTGTTATAAGCACCTGTGTTTTAATTTCTTCTTTCTAATATTCAGTTTCTTCTAAAAACAATTCCAGAAATTCAATGTTTTGTTATACTAGTTGGGAAGACCAAATCATATGTTTCAGTGTCTTTTGTTTAACCAAAGGCTTTATTAGGTTTATTTATTATTTCCAAACCAAAGGCTTTATACTTAAATTTGATATGTGAGAAGTTTAGATGAATTTCACTTAACTGCCTGAATTTCAAAAATGAACTTTAATCTAATAATACTGAAACATTTCAAGTGACAAACCTTTTTAAGTTTGTTGTAAATACTTATGAGTTGTGTTTTAAATAAAATTCAAATACGATAAAAGTATAACTTCAAATGTTTGAGCTGCTTTTTGGTAAACAGCTATTTTCATAGCTGACATCTTTGTAAAAACATTTAGCATTGTAAAGTTATTGCAATAAATTTTTTGACTTTAAGTATTTATAAAGTTTATTTATAATTAAATATTATTTATAAAGTTATATAAAAAAATTTACACAGCAAAATCTTGTATTAATCTTGTAAATTATTTTTACAAATCTTGTAAAAATTTTAATTTGTATATATTATACATTACGACAACTGAGTATTTTCAAAAAATAGTTTTTTTTGTTTGCAAATATTATATTTTGAGCTTAAGTGACTATTTTATCAATGTCACAAGTCAATTAAAGAATAAAAACATTTTTATAAAATACACTAATCAATATATATATTTTTTAATTGCAATAATATTGCAATTTTATTGGCCAATATTGCCAATAACTTGCATTGGATTGCCAATATATTGGGCAATAATATTGCAATATTGACAATAAAATTGTAATAATATTGGCCAATATCTTGGGCAATAATCTCGCAATAAAATTGCAATTATATTGGGCAATAATCTCGCAATATTGACAATAAAACTCTTTGGAATTTTATTATCGTCTAGCAGCGCTGAAAGTTGACATTTGAAAGAAACATTTATGTACACTTTCAATTCATACTAAATTCGAACTTTAAAAATTAAATAAACAACTAAATTTAGAATAAATAAGATAGTGTATTTATTTAACACACAAAACATACAAAACACATTACAGATAGAATGGGGGGGGGGGGGGGGGGGGGGGAGGGATAAGCGAAAAAACGCTGACAACCCCACACCGCAAGAAAAATGTCACTCATTTGTTTAGTCTTCAAACTTTTGTACTACTTTTATTGTCTCGGAAAAATTGATTAATACTCGCCCGAACAACACGCCAGTTGTAACACGTAAACACTTTGTCAAGTGCACCTTTAACTTCCTGAATTTCTTCATTCTCCATATGAATGCGTGCAGTAGGTCCGTTTGGTTCACAAATACGCGTGCAAGTAAACTCCTTTCCGAATCGCAACAAAATAAATTTTCTTGCAAAGCTACATGGTTCTCGTTTTTGAATGTCGTGCAATTTAAATTCGGCACCAAAACCAGTATACACGGCCTAAAAAGTAAAATACAGATAAGTTCGGATTTAGTAAACATTTTTCAATGGATGGTCAAATTATGCAACCTTTTGTATATAAATGTACCTTTCCTTTAGCAATCAATATTTCTTTTATTCAATTTGGTAAATACTAGCAAGTTGTGCTCTCATTGGATGAGCTTTTTTTAATTAAATTACAAAAATTAAATTGACTTACATTATCATTATTTACAGATTCTTTTTCTATTGGGCGCAAAATTTCAGACAACAGTTTGTTGGTCTTCTTTTGTTCAAAAAGAAGTTTCTTTTGTTCAATCAAAATTGCTAATGTTAAAATATATAGCACTTCTATGTACAAGTACAATATGGTAGAACTTAGGCAAACACAGTATTCATACTATAGGACTGTAACTAACCTTCTAAACAAGATAGTTTGCTTAACTTCGGTGAACCACAGTGTTTTAGGAACATCACTAATTATTGGAAGCATCAATGCTCTGGGAGCATCAACATTGTCAAGTAGCATGTCAAGCTTTCGCTTTTCCAAAGCCATAATCTGTGCTTCACTTTTTTTAGATCCTTTTTGACTGTTATAAAATGATGCAAAGGACTCTGATTCTATAAATGAAAAAGACAATAAAAATATGTTCAAGAAATTACATAAACAAAATTGTAATATTATTAAAATTACTTGAATTTTCATTCAACACTTCATTTACATGTTTTTTTTTTCAGCACCTTTGATTTAGGAGTCGATTTATATTTAGGTCCGTTTAGGCCTGTATGTTCTGAGACCGGTGCAATATTCTCTGAATCTATAAAAAAAAACATGAACAAGTTGTGGTTACAAACATATAATCATGGGTGTACTAGGGGCTAGGCTACTAGTGGATCCAATAGATCCCCACCTACCATGGGATAGTGCAACTTTAACTTGTGTTGATAATTTTTGTGTGAATTTTGTGTCATTTTTTATTATTTAGCAAAAATGTTTAATTAATTATTACTTGTGTAGCAGACATAATAACTAAACTCTGTCTGGTAACAAAGGTAACCTCCTTTTTTTTGACCCAGGGTGCTATTGCACTCCGGCACCATGGTCCAGTTTACCACTACACAGAAGAGTAAATTTTAAATAAAATTACTATAATATTGTCTTGTCATTGTCACATATTTATATTACATAAGTTACCTGAGGATTGGTCTCCATCAGAATGTTTTCTTTTTCCGTCAGTATTGCCTTCAATATAATTGAGGGCAAACTTGCTTACTTCATCAGTGCTAGGATTTTCATCACCAAAATCGTCCATGAAGTTATCTAGCAATGTTTCAAATTTACAGCATTTGGTAATAGACCCCTTATAGATGATGACAGCTGCGTGTTGTATATTTGCAATAGAAACATGCACTACATTTTTCTAATAAGTAAAAAACATTAAATTTAATTATCAACACACCATAAATAGTATAATAAAAGCAGGGGCTTCCATTTTTCAACATCCCTAAAAAGTGGGCATCTAAAATACTTCTTCCATTTTAGGGTGGGCTTCTATATATTCAGCTATGTAAAAAAACAAAAAAAACATTTTTATCTTATTCGTGGGCATCTAAAATACTTGCTTCTATTTTAAGGTGGGCTTCTATATATTCAGCTAATAGCTGATATATTCAGCTAATAGCTGGAATGTAAAAAAACAAAACAAAATTTATCTTCTTTGTCAATTATAGGGAGGGGGGATAAAATTTAAGGGTGGACTTTAATTATATTATGTATGGTAAATGCTGTCAGTTTTTTTTAACACACTTACCACTTGAAATTCAAGGCATTCAACGGATGAATAATGCTTAAAAAATTTGAAAGTGATATGGGAGAGGTATGCCGCTCATCTTTTTCACAATCCTTGTACCATAAAAGAACAAACGTAGAAGAAAGCTTTTGAGTGTCTACAAAATCTAATTTCTTTGTTCTATTTCTATCAGGGTAAGTCATTATTTAATAAAATATAAACCTGTAAAAAAATTCAATCAAATTATCAAATTATTTTAAATCAAATTATCAAAATAATAAAAACAAAAATGTTTGTTAGTATAAAAAAACACACATGCATGATGTGAAGCATATTTATTAATTAGAAAATTTACATTTAGCCACCCTAAGCATATTCGAAAAGTTCTTTCAATGGTGTCAAAATCAATACATCTTTTGTATCTAATTTACTTTTAATTAATATACATTTGCAGACTAAAGTGTCAGCTGAAATAACAACAATGTTTTTTGTTTGTTCAACAATAAAAAAAAAGTCATCATCAAAGTTAATTTCCAAATTTCCAATCATATCACCAAAAGTAGAAACTAACTTACACTTCACATTCAATAGTTGTAACTGAACATGTATTACATTGTCAACTAAAGGAAAATCTAATATGATACCAAACTTATTATGTCCAAATTGACAAGTGTAGCTGTTATGTTTGCCATAACCTTTTGAATGGTAAACAATACCATGTTTCAACAATCTGCCCGGATTTAACAACTGCAATTCTTCTTGTTTAATAATGCCAATATTTAATGCTTTACAAACTTCAACTTTTTTAGGATGATCTGTTGTTTGCAAAAAACAAGAAGCTGTTTTGAAGTCAAGAAATTTTTGTACAATCTGTTGTGGATGACCATGTGTTCCCTTCATCATTTTTTTATAATTACTTAGCCGAGCTTCAAAACAAAACATTGAGTAATTTGTAACACTTCCATGCATTTTAATAATATCGCTAACATGACCAAGCAAATGAACATTGATAGTATTCATATATAAAGGAAGCAACTCAGACAATGATTTTTGATAAAAGTTAAACAGCTGACTAATAAGCAGCACCTTATCTAAACATATTTCACTGCTACACAAACGCATGCCAATTACTAGAGAATAAATCATCATCATGCAGTCAGGATTCAAATATGGCAAAAAATATGGGACTGCTAAGTATAAAATAAAGTTTTTAAAGTCATGGCCTTTCCAATGTGTGAATGATTTAATAGTTAATGGCTTGGGCATGTTATGTGGCATTTTTTGATCAGCAAGTAAGATTTCCATAGCATTTAATTTTGCACTACCAATAAAAAATGATTCGTGTTTATTGGTAACAGAAAATAAACAAACTAAAAGCTTTTTTGAGCAATTTTTGTAAAACAAATGTAACACATCAATAAGTATCATATCTGGCACTTTAATAAATGAAATTTCACTAAAGATGTTTGAGCCTTTAATTCCAAATACAGATACTTTTGATTTTTCGGCTAATCTAGCATATATGGCATACATTTCAGATGTTTTAAGATTATAATTTGTATCTGAATGTGAATAAATTCTAGCGTAACCATGTTTTCTTTCAATTGTTCTACCAGGATGTTCGCAATAGTGACATCCAAATTCACCATTATACTGCTTATGATTGATGATTGAAGCCACTGCAGGCAAATCGAAAACAAAACCAACAATATGAATAACTACTTGGATATTGTTAATTTCAAGGGGTGTTTCAAACAGTTTTCCATTGATGTACTCTTAAAAAAAAGTTAGTAATATAGTAACAGTGCCCAATTTATTCTTGTCACGGCTGGAACAGTGAATTCTACTACTATAGGTAATTCCATTGACAACTACTTTTAAAATAAAAAATAACAATCAATAATTTAATTACCTTTAAATAAGCATTCCAATTAGGTTTTAATAATGAGAACCATAAACCAAGAAGTAGTGTATTTTCAAATAGGAATCGTTTATAAGATGGTAAATCTAAAATAATAGCATAAAATGGCCACATTGTAATCTTTTTTTTTGTGTATGGTTCTCCACCATCTGTTGACATCAATAAATGAATATGTAAAACATTTGCAGACTTCATATTTTCAACAAAATTTGGTCTAGAAATAAAATCACTCTTTCTTTTACCTGACATAATTTCCAATTGATATGATTTAATTGCATCCAAATTCATAAATAAAACAAGTTTCATTTGGCTAATGATATCCAATATAAAGATATGGGATGAACAATGAGTATTTATTTTACACGTGTCAACTAAAGCTGTGCAGCAATTATGACAATAATATTTATGCGTTGGTTCAGTATGGGAGAATATATTTTTAGTAACAAATCTACGAATCATTTTATGAGATGACGGCATGTCATTTATACAGCGAAAAATCTATTAAAAAAATTTAAAAATTAAAAATATATTTTTTCAAGCTTTATCAACCAAACTAAGCCTGGGCCAGACCCCAGCCTCAAGTTGAAATAAAAATATGACATACTTCATTATTTTTATAATTTAATAATTTGTAAAAAAAATAATTTGTAAAAACTATAGATATAAAATATATAATATATAATTGTAAAATATTATATAATATATAATTTGTAAAAAAAGTCGGATAAAATTTTCACAAGTAAAATGTTTTATAATTAGGAACGTTCTGCATTACTTTATCAGACTTTTTTTACGAATTATTGGCAATGTGCACCATTTCTGGTAGCAGCCAGAGATAAATAGCCAGATCAACATTTATTGCTAAGGACTAAGTTGATTGATAATTTTATTAGCTTGACAATATTCATTTACAAGTACATTGCACAATTTAAACTACATCTAACATACCAGCAAAGTCTTCAAAAATCTATCAAATGCGATTTCAGTAAATGAATTGCTAATCATTAAATACAACAAGGTTAAAAACATAAACTTTTTGTTAACAATTGAATCCAATAAAGAACATTCAAATGGATTAGAACTAAAGAACTGAAACATGGAAGCACTCGATTCTTCCTCAGATACTAGAATTTGATTTTCTTCCTCAGATACTATAGATACAATTTCTTCTGTCTCTTGGGTAAAACTACCATCATTAACATTATCATCTGTATTGCTACAGTCGGACTGAGAACTACTATTAGTAATTTCCTCTTCAGAAGAAGTAGACTCAGCCGTAAAGTAAAGTTAAATGTAAAAAAATTTCGTTTTATTGCACATATATTCACCATTAATAAAATTTTATGAGTCTTTACTTATAAATAACTATGTTATTTTTGCACGGGTATCTTGTGTGGCCAGACAGGTTTGCTGGACTCATGCAAGCCATGTCTAACGTGCGCCGAAGAAACCTGCCTGGCCGCACTTACACTGCAGTATAAAGTCCAATGAAAGCATGCTTGTAACTTCAGTTACAATCATAAAATCGATTACCTAATATTAGTTGCAATAATATTGCAATAATATTACAATTATATTGCAATTATATTGCAATTATATTGTAATATTTTAACAACAATCTTGCTACTGCTTGTAAACTCATTAAATTTATGTAAAACAAAAAAATGACACAGGCAATTAGATAAGCATCAGAATTATTTATATTTAAATGCATCTAAATTACATTTACAAACACATTACATTTGTATAATTTTATTGATATTTTATTGGACAATTAATTGAGCAATATATAGCAATTTAAATTGAACGCGCAATAATATTGCAATATGTTGTAATAAACCGCAATATATGTCGATTAGTGTACACTCAGTCCGGTCAAAATCCGGTCCCCCTCCCTCTCTCTAAAAAAATAGGGAGGCAGAGGGGGACATTTTTTTAGAGAGAGGGAGGGGGACCAGTTTTTTTTTTTTTTTTTATGGACTTACCTAAAAAATTTCCTGTACACGCCCCTGAGCGTATTAAATTCTTTTATTTTATTTTAGGTGCCCTAAATCTTTACGGTCTTATCACAGAGCACCGCGGAGAATCATTTACTGAGAAGCTCACGCTTTTTCAAGTAACGTGAGTTATTTGAAAAATGTAGATATTTTGTCTATAACTTGTTTTTAACTATAAAAATTTTTTTGAAAGCGTTCCTTTATTTAGTATATATAAAGCCACAAGCAAAGATATATAAAGTAACACCCGTTGTTGTGGATTCACCTTCCAGATTTGACAAAGAAATCGTTAGACTGTAATAATTACATTTCGCTATGATGATTATGTGTTATTCAATTTTATGTTTATGTGTTTTTAATTTTTACTTTCACTATATCATTGTTTTTAGTATTTTATTTCGTTATCATTATGTCAAAATGTGTTTAGATTTCCTTGATGTAGCTGTGTTTAAAATGCTTAGACTTGTCATGTTGTACAATAACTATTGCATTTAAAACTTATTAAAAATGAAACAAGAATTATTTTAAAATGACGTCACTCTGTCATATTGTCACCCGTGTAGTTTTTATTGTCAATATTGCGAGATTATTGCCCAATATAATTGCAATTTTATTGTCAATATTGCGAAATTATTGCCTAAGGTATTGGCCAATATTATTACAATTTTATTGTCAATATTGCAATATTATTGCCCAAAATATTGCCAATCCATTGCAAGTTATTGACAATATTGGCCAATAAAATTGCAATATTATTGCAAATTAAAAAAAAAATGTTGAAGTGTAGGCACAAACTTCACATTATTATTTTTATACCATTCCAAAGCTAGTTAACAATAATGAATTGAAGCTAAATCTGTGCAGAACACAGGTCTTTTATCGCGTGATTTAATGAGAGGTAAAAGGCGTTTTTGTAAACACTCTTTAACATATATTTGACCCGAAAATGTGGACTGAGAAAAATAAGGTGCTGATTTTTTGCCGCAACTACAAATAGCTTGCCAAATCAAGACTTTTTAGCAAACTTGTCATGTTTATGTTTTTATGAAGACTATGTTTATTTTGAACTTTTACAACAAAGCTATGAGAAAGTCGATAAATGTTTGGGCGCTCTCTTAGTGAAGGCTTGGGTTAGTCTTTAAAATGTTAACCAGTTTTTTAACTAGTTTTTTATTTTTAAAACCCTTCTTTCTTTCATCACCAGATTTACGTTTAATCGATTTTGTTTGAGAAAAACGTTGGATGACACGACTAACGGTGTATAGATGTATTTGCAACGCTTTTGCTATCGAATTGTAGCTAATATTGGAATTTTTCAAATATTTCTGCATAATTTTTTCGCTTATGGCTTCTTCTTTTGTCATTTTTAAAACTAATTTTAAGTTGAATCAAAAAACTAATATAGTTTTTTTGAAACCACAACACGTTGAAAAACAAAATACAAAACAATTAAAAAGATTTTAAACCACTGAAAAAAAAAACGACGCACTTATTCTTTCTCATTTGTTTCGCGTACACGCTTTATCTTGTAATAGACATTTTTTTTTTACTATATGTAAATATATGATTTATTAACTTTAAGAACCTACTATTTTTGTTCAAATATTATGTATTTCTTTCCCGTGGACCACCAGAAGGAAGTTCTATGAATATTGTAAGTTAAATGTATATTGTTTTTTGCCATTTTTAGTTTAGCAAAGTGAGCAAAAGTGGAGTCAAATTCTTTAGAAACATCACAAGTTCTATTAATTTTTTAAATGTCTGCAACTTTTAATGAGGAGTGAGACGATTCTGAGCAATTGTATGATACATTTACATTTTCGCATAGTCGTTCATGTTTCTCCTTATTGCTTATACTTTTTGCGTCAAACTTTTTATTGAAGTTATTTTTAGAAGACTATAGAAGTATTTTCTCAAGGATATTTTGCATTGCTGTTGCTTTTGAAAAACCACCTACAGTTATGTTTGATCAACATTTTGGGGTATTTTGCTTTTGTATTTAATTTTCCGATTAAATTTGGAAAGGTACATGTAGCACAAAAGATATGTTGAAAATTATTAAGTAAGACAGGGTTGAGTATTATTCTTTGCATGTATATTATTACATTCATTGGCTCCCTTGTAAAAATAACTTTGTTGTCTGATGGTCATTTTCCACATTGCTTCTTCTTTTTTCTACCGGACTTCTTTACAAAACAGATGCATCTTTTGAGTGAGCATATTTGTGGCCAGTGTTTTATATTAAAATTAGATGAGGTCGTTCTTCGTTGTTCGATATTACTCATTACTGATAACATTTCATGCAAATTTTTGGTGGGTGCATTTTTGTTCTGTCTTTTTCTACCTCAGTAAAAAATACCTTATCAACTCTAACTTATATAGATATATCATTAATGAGTCATTGCCAACATAATTTCCACATAATCTGCAAGGATTATTAAGACATTATATAGTGTTAGAAGCAGTAGCCGTCGCCATATTAGGTAGTTAGGTGCACTTTTTTAATTTAAATATCTTGAACTTAAAAAAATGGCTTGTGAATAAATTTGGTGTTATTTGAAAGTGTTTAAATGTTAGTTTTAAAAAACTATTTAGTTCTCGAAATAAAAAATTAAGTTGAAAAAGTTACAGAAGTAACTTTTTCAATTTAAACAAAAAATTTGAAAAACAAGAAATTGCGAAAAAATATACATTTTTAGAACCATTTAAATTTTGTTTTTAAAATAAAAAAAGTAGACTTTCTGGAGTTAGTTTAGAGTAGAGTTTCTTTCTTCAAAAAACGTAGACATTTATTTATCACCTTTGGTCCATTAAACAAAATTAAGATGAAATGAGTATAATAGTTTTAAAATATGTGTTTATTTATACGGTTCAAAAATACGAGATTTTGACATTGAAAAAAAAAAAATCTATTTAAACGCATGCGCAATATAAATGTCTGCTAGAAATCTGTATTAAACAATCGTAATTACGATTGTTTAATACAGATTTCTAGCAGACATTTATATTGCGCATGCGTTTAAATAGATTTTTTTTTTTTCAATGTCAAAATCTCGTATTTTTGAACCGTATAAATAAATACCAGTTATAAATAAATACCAGTTATAACTGGTATTTAATAAGAATGTTTTACAATAAATTACAGTGATCGGAGCCTGGGAATAATAGACATTTGAAAAATAGGGACCCACAATCCTAAACGTGGATACAAAAAAAAAGTAACTTTGTAGTATCTAAAGTAGATCAAAATTAATTCAATCTATTTTAAAATAGATCGAATTAATTTCGATCGCCCTAATTTTTAGACAGTATTGTTCCCAAACTCTAATCACCGTGATTTTTTTCACTGTGATTTTATAGAGTATTGCGGTTCTAAAAATGCAAATCCTTCCTGGAAGACATTTTTTATCAAATAAATTATTACCACTTCGGTATATTTCTTTTATTAAAATATATTTATATTTATAAATATACGGTACGCTTGATCCCGATATTTTTTCATAACTTATGCATTTAAGCACAAAGCAAACACGATTGGAGTAATAGTAATCTCATTTTCCAATTTCATTCAGCAGTCTTATTATAAACTAATTTTGGCAAATCTTTTTTATATAAAGGATTTGCCAAAATTAATTTATAATAAGGCTGCTGAATGAGATTCAAAAATGAGGTTACCGTTTAGATTACTGTTCCTCATATAGTGTACCATGGCGTTTTTCGTCGGAATCAAACAGTTTAAAAAAATTTTCAGTTTCCTAAAAAATGACTTTAATTTCGTCAAAAATGACAAATCCACCAAAATCGCATTTTATGAGACACATGGAAATAACTTTTCACTGATGATATGTAATTTTCTTAATAAAATACTTAACAAAAATCCAATTGAAAGCAATTATAAGGATTAATATCAATACAAAAACTTGAGAAGTATGATTAATCATTAATAGATAACATACACATCTGATTCATGATAAAATGAACATAATAAACGCAAAGATGAAATAAAGAGCGCATTTAAAATAAAAATTTCAAACTTAGTTGATCAACCCTTAATTTGCGTACTGTAAAATATTTTAAAGATAACATATTTGTATACTTTGAAGTTTAAACAACTGTGATTTTATTTATTTTTATCAATATCAATAAGTTGATAATGAATATTTTTTTTTTGTATCTTTTCTTGGAAGTTTTTTCTTATTATATTGATATGCTCATGTAAAGGAAATCTGTGTATCAAGCGTCACGGTTTTGGTTTAAAATGGTAAGAATGGTATGATTATGTAAATGTCGTAAATTGTATGTACTAATAATAAACTATAGATATTGATGTACTTATTTCCCAGACAGCAAGCTTACATTGGACCAAGGTTGGGCCAATGCATGATGGTGCATTAAAAAGTAACTTTGTAGTATCTAAAGTAGATCAAAATTAATTCAATCTATTTTAAAATAGATCGAATTAATTTCGATCGCCCTAATTTTTAGACAGTATTGTTCCCAAACTCTAATCACCGTGATTTTTTAAAGTCTACTTTTTTTATTTTAAAAACAAAATTTAAATGGTTCTAAAAATGTATATTTTTTCGCAATTTCTTGTTTTTCAATTTTTTTGTTTAAATTGAAAAAGTTACTTCTGTAACTTTTTCAACTTAATTTTTTATTTCGAGAACTAAATAGTTTTTTAAAAAGTAACATTTATAAAATTATAGAGAAAAAAAAGAAGGTATGATACAAGTATAAAAATTTATTTATTTAACATTTCTCGGTTAAATATACATATTGCAAACACCAAACTTAAACCAAAAACTGACACATTGAGTTTTAAAAAAGAAAATTCACTATAAAATTTATAGAGTAGTTTCGATATTGGCTGAGCTACTTGTTATTGAATCGTGTTTAGCTTATGATATTTGGTGCCCACGATTATTATTTTTTCTTTCGCTATCTCTATCACTTGTCTGCATAAGCCATGCTTATTTGACTTCACAGTTTCTGCAAAAAAAATAGTTGTTTGTTTAATTATGCACCAAAGAAACATAACAAATTAAAAGTAATTCTGTAATGCAAAATTGAAACTGAAAAAATAAACTTTCCTAAACCACTTACCAATAGCAGCATATGCAATCAACATTTTTCAATTTTTTGTCCTCTCCCTGCATAATTTAATTTTACAGCTAGGCCATTTTAAAAAACTATTCTTAGTAAATAACATATACAATCTCCTTCGTCTTTAACTTAAGTGTTTTCTTGTCTTTTTTCTTCCAGAGTACTTGATTTCTTCACTGCTTTTAATGGCAATTTACTTAATGTAAATTTTATTATTGTTAGCCTAGTCTAACTTTAATTGACAACTTTTCTCTGATCTTCGGCAAATGTATCAATTTAGCTTTTATTGATTTCTTCACTGCTTTTAATGACAATGACTTTCAGGCAATACAATAATTATCATACTTTTGTTACTCAAATTTTTATAACTACTTTTGATGCGCTTTGCAGTTCCCCAAGTTGCCCTTCAATGCTTGCCCATTGTGTCAATAATACCAGCATATCTTTCAAGGATACAACTTTATCTTGAAACAATAAAGTTAATTATATTATTAAGAAACTATACAACTAATTACATATTATATTTAGAATTTATGAAAGTAAATACAACAATCACTAATAAAACAGATAAAATTAAAGACAGAGGGGCAAATTTTTAATGATAATATATACTTGCTAATGGATTCATAATATTTTTATGAATTATGAAATTTGCAAGTGTGCATTCAATTTCTGGGACTGACACAAAACAATTCTCGTTAATGTTTGAGATACATATTGCAATGTAAAACAAAAAAACTCATATTAAAACAATGTTTTTCCAACAGGGTTTGTAGCCAACTATTTATATAAAATTCAATGACTTTTTTGAAAAATGAGATGAACTTCCCTGACCATTTTTAATAATGGTTTTTACAAAATGTTTAAAACTACTATCTACTGTAATGGAAATGCTAAGACTATACATGCTATGAATGACAAAACTTAGCTATTAGTTAAGTTGGATATTAGTATGGATCTTATTATACATGTTAGTATGGATCTTGTTATTAAGGATGACTAAGAATAAACACTAAGAAAAACATAAGTTTCAGAAAAAATAAATGGGTAGCACCAAAAAAAACATAACAGCTTAATTGAGTGCTGTATTTTGAAAATGTGACAAGTCACAAAATTAAAATTTTACAGGAGAGTGAAAAACATTTCTCTTGTGAAAAATCTTATTTTTATTTTATCTAAAAATTGTTTCTTTTATCAAAAAAAAATCTTTATTTTATCTGAAAAAATCTATATTTTATCTTATAATTTTATCTTTTCCTAAAAAAATTATTCTTTTCAAATAACCTCACTTTTAAAAAAAGTGTGACTCTCTTCACGTTTTCAAAATACAACGTTCAATTGTGAAAGGAGTAACTTCTTAACTAGAATTACTGACTTTTCCATGATTATCTAAAAAAAAAAATAACTCCCTGACTTTTCCAGGTTTTCCACGACTTTCCAGGTAGAGTACAGACCTTGTCGAATGTTTGTAAATAATTCTTTTTTTATATTTTAGTTCTGAATTTTAATAATACAACTTTTAAAAATAATATCATCTATACAAATATTGTATTACCTTCGTCTATTAGATAAATTTAAATAAACGTTTATATAATGAATAATAATGAACCACCAGCAACTGTTAAAACTTTAAACTGATATAAATACTTTGTTGCTTTTTTCAAAAGTTGATTTCAAATGTATTTCAAAGTTGGTGACACCAACTTTGAAATCTAACAAAAAATTTTTGTTACGTTCATAAACTTAAATGTTCTCAAAACGATTAAAAAACCTGGCCAGTTTTTTGCAACTAAATATAATTTCAGTGGTCAGTATTCAAGAGCGATCGCGCCCGCTTCCCGACCAAGCCTGTGGTATAAGCTTTGATATGTTGATTATTATACAATAAAATGTTAATTAACACTCTGACTTTTTGACCGTAATATATGAAAAATTGTAAAAGCTATGAATAGAGATTTTCAATCATCAGACATAAAGACTTCCATTACTTACATTACAACTTACCATTTAATAAATTTTGTTCATTTAACTTCTCAGAGCAAACATTGAACTTCTGTAAAGAGTTTGGAGTTACAAGTAAATCCCAAAGTTTAATAATATTTTTAGTTTTATTATAAGAAAATGAGGATAAATCATCTATACCAAGATATACACAATTTTCGCTTTATTTTTGCTGTTCATTTTTGCTGTCTTCCTTTTTTGTCTCCAGAGCAGAAGTTTAGCCTTCTGCTAAATTTAATCTTGTATTGCTATAAAAATCTATAAATCAAATCATTAATAATTAAGTTATAACTAAAGTTAATGTATAAGCTTAAAGTTGTTAACTGTTACACGCAAACTAATAATGAAAAATATCGAGAGATATTAAATTAAAAAACAATAAAACCAAGTATAATGTCCCTTTCCCTCAGAAAGATGGAATATATAAAGGGTTGTTTCGATTTAAATCATGATTTAAATCAGAAAAATAAAAATAATGATTTAAATTGAGTTTTTTTATTTTATTTGTTTTTAAAGATTATTTATTGATTTAATCTCATAATTCAATCAATTATTATAGACTAGTCTTAAAATAAAATGTCTGGCAATATTAGAAAGCTCTACATAAGTAGAATATAAATTCTAGTATCATCACTTTTTGTACACTGTTTAAATATGTTAGTAGATGGGGCTTTACTATCAAACACAGAAAAAATCAAACAAAAAAGACATACTTAAAATGTAAAATATCAGCTTCTAACAACTTCGATGCCACATGTATATTATTGATACCTTTAATAATATATCTTATAATAGCTATATAATCTAAACTATTATAAACAAATTATGAAAAAAAATTTTTTTTTTAATACTTATACTGTATGACATTTCAAATGTTTGATATATTAAATAAAGAAGAATTTAAAATGTCTTCTTTATTAAATAAATCGAACATTTGAAATGTTACATTTATTTAATAAAGATATTAAATAAATCAAACATTTAAAATGCCAATACAGCAATAAGTATAATAAAATCACTTTAAGATCTTACACAAAAATAATTTAATTATAATAATTATTATTGCCTATAATTATTATAGGCAATAATTATTATTGCCTATATTATTACATTAATAATTTAGATTGTAGTAAAAAATGTTTTAAGCATATTATTTAAATGTTAACAAATATTTCATTATTAAAAAAAACAAAACATTAAGTCACGATAATCTCTTGAAATTTATTTCTTATAAGGAACCTTTTAAGATTCTTAGAAGATTCATAAATATAGCTTCTTTTTTTTTATTTTTATAATTTAAAAAAATTAAAAGATAATATCAAAACCTTTTTATATTCGCCGTGGATAGCCTACCGAAAGTTTTTTTTATTGGTTGAGAATATCACATGTCAAAATAAACAATATTTTTATACCGTAAATTTAAGGGGGAAACTCCCTCTAAAATCATCAAAAAAAAAAAAATTTAGTATGACCGTTTTTAGACATAAAAATTACCATAGATTTCATTTATGTAATTTGTTTTTCATAAAAATCATTCTAAAATGCAGAAATTTTAGGTTTTTTAATGGTAAGTTGATGTTTCGTTATATCGAAAGTGTAATTTTTTTGTCGTATTTGGAAAAAAAAAAAAAAAAAAAAAAAAGCTTATGTGAAATGCCTAACTTGGGTTAGGATGCTTTATTCTATTATACTTCTTGTTCAGCTAAGCAAAAGTAAGCGAGATTAAGAGACAAAAACAAACTATTTAATTTAACGGTAAGCGAAAGATACTATGACTCAAAATGAGGTTTAGATTTTTTTTAAAAACGAAGACCAGATATATTACTGATTTGAGGAGAAATGTGCTACATCGATTGATCTGTACCTGTCTTAACCCAAACCCTCAGTCGATGTAGCAGCATTCCCTTGCATGTTATCCCTAAATAAGTCAATGTAGAAGCACTCTCTTACATTTCTCCCCAATTCAGTAATATATCTGGTCTTCTTTTTTTAAAAAGTCAAAACCTCATTTTGAGTCATAGTATCTTTCGCTCACCTAATTTAACAAGAATGCCAAAAAGTTGTAGAGTAAAACGTCAAACTATTATTGTTATGAAAAAGTATAGATCTTTTCCAGTTAAAAAATCATTATTTTATGAAGAAGAAGTTGTTGTTGATAGTATAAATAAAGAATCTACTCCAATTGTTAATATTTTAATTAATAATGACACTGATTCACTGTCTGACTGACGCTTCTGATAATATTGTAAATATTCCAGCACCACATTCAAAAATACGACAAATTGATGTAGTTGAATTTTGTACTCTACTGTCTGGATATAGAATTATAGATATAGAAGTGTTATTTGTTATTTTTAAAGAACTCATTTGTCCAACGTGCTTCAATGAAGACTTGTGTTGTCTGACAACTTAAAAGATCGACATGGACTTGCTCCTTTTTAGTTTTAAAATGTTCAAATTGTTTATTTTTAAAAAATATTTGTACTATAAAAAAAAGTGGTAAGCAGGGATACGACATAAATAAGCGAGTTATTTAGACAATGCGGTCGTTGGGTCAATGTCACGCAGGACTTGAAAACTTCACTTCTTTTATGAATATTCCTCCGCCAATGACTACAAATAACTAAGACAAGCTTGCTAAAAAGTCTCTAAAATTGTGAAAAAAGTAGCAATAGAGACTATGTGAAGAAATCAGACACGATTCGAATACTGATATTGTTGATACTGGTGTTTCATGTGATGAAAACGTATAGGTACAAGATTAAGAAAGTTGAAAAAAAAAACTAAAAACCTTGGTGGTAGAGGTAAATTAACAGATGCAACAATTGATCGGTTGCAAAGTTATTTTGGTATTTCAATTAGAGCTAATGTATTGTAATGAGATTTAGCATCTATGAAACCTGGTACTCTGGCATCACTTTATTATGTTGCCACCAACAAGGAGAATAATCTACATTTTCCACATTGCCCAGTAGGAGCTGATAATTGGTGCAAATATAATTCAGGTAAAGCCTATGGTGCAACTTTAAAGAAACTTATAAACCTGGACCAGGTTTACCAATAGCTATTGTTTATAAAATCAAACCAATCTTTGCAGAACTCAGTGCTGACCTACATTTATAAAAGTGCTTACATGGTAAGACACAAAATACTAATGAAATTTTTAATGGCACTATCTGGAAACGTTTACCTAAAAAGAAATTTATATAATTCAGTCAATTAGAATTTGGAGTTTATGATGCAGTGGCTAATTTTAACATTGATCGAAAAGCCTCGATTTTAGTTTATGAGTTTTTCGAAATAATTCGAGGAGTATATACTCTTAAAGGTTGTAAAAATTTAAACTAAAAACGACTATCACATTCGAAATACATAAATATTGATAAAAACAAGTTGCGACAAAAAATTATTTGTGGCAAAAAACATAATAAAAATGATAATGAAAAAGAAAAAGAAGGGAAGTTGTATAAAGCAGGTTTCTAATACTTTTTATTAGATATTTTAACTATAATATGTGTTTTACTTAAAGTTTCAAAGTTTTATATGCTAATTTTTTTTTCTTTTCGCGTTTTCTCAAAATAGTCTTTTTTCATACGCCGGCCGTTTTATCTCAAGAACTGTTTTACCAATTTTGATGAAATTTTCTGGAGTTGTTTCTATGATTATAAACTGTGGTTTAATAGAAACAGTTTTTTAAATTGAGGTTTAAATTTTTTTATTTTTAATATTTTGAATAAAAAATATTTTTGCCATCTTTAAATGTGCACCCATCGCTCAGATTTTTAGTTACAGAAAAATGCCGCTATTAAAACACCCTTTGACCTTTTGTGAAGCATTTGGTGAAAGCTTTTTAAGAGATCTTGCACGGTTATTTAGTTTTTACGGCCGGTGTGAATGCATTTTTTGCCCATTTTTATGTGTTTTTTGTGGTTACTATGGCAACCAAAAACCATTTTGTATTTTTTTTCAAGGATTTTGTTTATTCATATTATATTGATGTTTTATATTCTTGATTTTGTTTAAAATGTTTAATACTTCTGTTTAGGGGGGGGCTTCCCCCTTAACACATTATTTTTTAAAAACAAAAACGTAAAAAATGTAAAAAAATAAATAGGATTTTCCATTAAATAAATAGAAATGACTGCCACCCCATACCAAAACCCTCAGTCAATGCATGTACACTTCACTGCGCCTATCCCTAAATTAGTAAATGCATGTACATACCTCGGTGCCTATCCCTAAATCAGTCAGTGTATGAACACTCTATTGCGTCTATTAATGCATTGTGCTATTCCCAGCGTATATCCCTAAATAATTTATTCAATTAATAAGCGTAATAAAACCTAAAAAACATGGAAAAAAACAATCGAAATGTAATAAATATTCCATAGTTAGGATTCGAACCCGGAACGCCAGCGTGCGGTGATCCAAAACACTGCTGAACATTGTGACTATCTAGTTTAAAAATATATTTATCTAGCTATTTTATTGTGACACGTGATATTTCTTAACCAATAAAAAAAAACTTTCGTAGGATTTTTATTTTTCCGCTACCGACTTTCGGTAGGCTATCTACTGCGTTTTTTATTCTATCAAACGATACTATTTTTAAAAATGTTATGCAACATATATACTAATCCGCAACTACATTGGGCTACGGCATAAATGTAAGAACAAATTTTTATAGCAAAATATTAAGCCTAAACTACATTGGCCAAATGTTGGCCCAACGTTGTACGATAATTGCAAAAAACTGATTTGTAGAATTACAATATTACGCCGAAAAAAAACATTGGCTAAATGTTGATCCAATATGGTACGATATTTATAAAAAACCGATTTGCAGAATTGAAAATAATACGTCGAAAAAAAACATTGGCTAAATGTTGGCCCAACGGAATAAACTTGTCAATGTTAAAACTTATGTTGGACCAATGTAAGCTTACCGTCTGGGTTAAAGTATAAAAGATTTTAAACAAAAATGCTTTTAAAATTAGCAGCCCAAGGTAATATGAATTTTATAATAATTGCATATACAACCAGATGGTATTGTAAGTTAGTTACCAGTTTTTGTAAAAATTGTTTTTAGAATTAATATTAAACTCTTTATAAATATTAAAATAACAATTAAAAATGGTAATCAGTAATAAAAGCACTTAACTGGGTTTGTTGGGGTAATTTGGGTATAAAAAAAACCTATTTGCAACTTTTAAGTTATGTTATTTAATTTTCTTAAAAAAAAAACGGAATCTATTTTTGTCCGTCTTAGCATTGTGACCTTCTAGAACAGTTTTGTATAAGATTGGCGGTCATAAACTTATTAGTAAAAAAATTCAAACTGTTAGTTATAATATATTCAAATTGCCCTATTGATGGGGTAATTAGGGTAATGTTTTTTTAAGTAAAACATGCTTTTAACAGCTGTTATACTCAATTTATCCAACTTAGGTTGATTGTTGGTATAGTATAAATAAAATATTAGATGCAATGAAAAAGTTGTATTGGAATTTTGTTTTATAATATTATAAAAAATTAAAAAAATTTAAAATATATTCCATTAAAATCATGAACAGGAACTTTTTCTAATTTTTTTTTTTTTTTCAAATTTTTCTTCTGTTTAATGTTAAATCTAAAGCTGTAGGTAGTATTTTTAGTTTTATAATATTTGCCTTTTTTTATATTTACGTAGTAGCATTGGTACTTCTTTTTTCTTTTTCTCATTTCTTTTTACCTCCACTTCTTTCAACCTTTCCAGTAATTAATTAGTTGTAAGAACTTCTCCACAACTTTCTTGTACCCGTTGTCTCTT